GAGTTATTACCAAACTCAGCTCCAGAGTTGACGACAACGACGAGAAGGAGGAACCAGAAGACGTCTGTCTCGTTAAGTCTACCAACACCAAGACCACCCTTACCATCTCCTCCAACAAATATCAGAGACTTATACACACAGAGAGATCAAAATCAAAATCTGAGGGTTTTCACTTACAAGGAACTGAGTGATGCTACGTGTGAGTTTAACAGAAAGCTTAAGATCGGAGAAGGTGGTTTTGGAAGTGTTTATAAAGCCACTATTGACAATCCAACCGGAGGAGATTCTCATTCTCTTCCACTTACCGTCGCCGTTAAGAAACTCAATCAACAAAGTCTACAGGTACATATATATACAACTTCAATTATGCAAAAATGATTAGCATTTTAACCAGGAATTTTGATCAGTCAAGCAACATGTGACAAATATGTGAAACTCTTGTCGAAAAAGATTCCAACTTTACAACAAGAAATTACAAGTTTCACAGATTGTATAATGTAGAAAAGAATGGTAAAAATATTTGACCTATATAACCAAGAAACTTCAAGAAATTTTGTAATGTTTGTTATATAGTATTATTATTGATCCTGAATAGTATTATTGATCCTCTGTTTGTGACAAAAGGGTCACAAGCAATGGCTAGCAGAAGTTCAATTGTTGGGCGTAGTGAATCACCCGAACGTAGTGAAGCTCTTAGGGTATTGCGCAGAGAACACAGAGCGGCTTTTGGTTTACGAGTTTATGTCTAATCTCAGCTTAGAGGATCATCTCTTTACTCGAAGAACCTCGAATAATTTGCCGTGGAAACAAAGACTCGAGATCATGCTTGGTGCAGCTCAAGGATTGGCTTATTTGCATGAAATCCAGGTGATTTTCAAAAGTTTGTATGGGAAATTCGGAATTTATATATAACCGAATAAGCACATTGATTAGATACATGTTACGTTTTTCTTGGTGGCAGGTAATATACCGAGATTTCAAATCATCAAACGTGCTTTTAAACGAGGAGTTTTATCCGAAACTATCGGATTTTGGTCTCGCTAGAGAAGGTCCCCAAGGAAACAATACTCACGTTTCAACCGCGGTATGTGACATTTATCATTTCTACCTTACAAATTCGACTTATCGCTAGTTGCTTCATCCACAAGTAACAACTTTTTCCTTCTTGATTCTCTTAAAAAGAGAGTTGGAACAAACGGCTATGCAGCTCCAGAGTATGTCGAAACCGGTCATCTCAGGACACAAAACGATGTCTATAGCTTTGGAGTTGTTCTGTATGAGATCATCACTGGTCGTCGAACAATCGAAAGACTGAAACCTTTAGCTGAACAAAAGCTTTTAGAATGGATCAAACAGTATCCTGTTGATAGCAAAAGCTTTAGAATGATCATTGACTCGAAGCTACAAAGCAAGTATCATGTTGCTATGGTCAAGAGAGTGGCTAAATTGGCTAACGATTGTTTGAACAAGAATGATAAAGAGAGACCAAACATGGCTTTTGTTGTTCAAAGTCTTAGGAAGATCATTGAGGAATCAAATTCTGTTGGAGAATCGAGAAGAGGGGTTATTAGAAGAGCCTAGGAAATGGATAACTATAAATTACGATTCTGAAAATGATTTGTGATTAACAAAAACCAACATTTGTGAGTTATAAATCAGGACCATGAAATGAATTTTTTTTTATACACATGATCCATATCAATAACACCAACACACACAGGGTTGCATCACAACAAAACTCGCAAATCCATGACCAACTAAATAGTATATTCTAAGTTAGATACACATTCTTTATAAATTTTTATCATTTTTATTAAATTGTGAAACAAAATTTACGCAAACGAGCGAGTCTAACGTTAAAGAGTCAAATAGCTTAAATTAGATATGTTTTAACGTGGAATGCATCTAATGTTTTCTATAAATAAGTACATGTTCTTATTTCTTTTTAATTTTAAACACTTACCATCAATTTATTTCTATTATCTAGGATGAAGAAATCTATTTAGCTCTCGTTCACCGTTTTAGTTATCTTCATCATTCTCGTACTAGGTTAGTATATGCATTTAAAATTCCTTTAATATATTCTTTTGAAAAAAAAAATTGTTTCCCTAAAGTATGAGTTTTACTAAGTTATATAATTTGTGTTAACTCCTCTAAATTTTTTTAGAGAAATATCATTTTTCCAAAATGCCACATTTCTAAAATCTTTTAAGCAAATGCCATTAATATTGTATCATTGATTCAGAACACATTTATGTTTGGGTTAACTATATTATGTTAGGGGTCAAAAAATTTTTAAGATTTATGATTTTAGGTTTAAGGTTTAACAAACCTTTAATTAGTGGCATTTTGAAAAATGGACAATTCAATGTGGCATTTTTGTAAAAAAAAGTATTACAAAAAATGACATTTTTAAAATTATTCCTTAACTCTATACTAGTTAGATCTAGAAAATTGAGTTACATTGTGCTAGACGTAGGAAATGGATCCCCAAAGATATTTTAGATTTTCACTACCTATTATGGTAAAGTCCTTTATGTATAAAAAATAAATGTTTGTAATATATTATGTAAAATTGTTTTGATATAAATTGACTTAACAATTTTCCATGGTCTTTTTTCCTCGCTTCGTACCAGGGTAGATAAATGTGGTAAACTATAGTTTTCAATTTCGTTAATATTTGATGCTCATGTAGGTTTTATGTTAATTTATACGATTTTTTTAGAGATAATCAATTAATTTTTATTTTATTTTTTATTAATATGAGTAAAACTCTTAAAATATCTTTTTTAAGAAATGGGAAAATATTAATTGTTTCCATTTTTTTATCACAATTGTAGGAGTAACGGGGCATGTTCAGCGGAATTCTGAAGGGACTTGTCGACCAATTCCATTTAAAGGGTCTTGTACTAAGGCAAATTGTGATTCTCTATGCAAACAGCAGAAGGTTAAAAGGAGGATTTGGTAGATGCCATAATTGTTCCCAAGGCGGTGTGTTTGTGTTGTGGTGTGTGGCCTCCTATTGGTTGGCGTTAGGTCTATGAATATCATAAAGATTACCGTTTATGTCATCTAGAATATTATGGTCTTATAACAATAAAAAATATAGATTTATTATTTAGAAATCATGATATTCTATATATTATGCTATAAAATGATAATGATAAATGTAATATGAATTTTATTATCTATAAATCCTGATATTTTATATATTTTGCTATATGTATCTAGTATATTATGTTTTTGTAAAACGTTTAAACCGCCTAGAAAACCACACAGATTTTGATTACGCGTTCTAGGCAGTAGGAGTTAGATCGTCACCTGTTTAGGGTCTAGTTCTTTCTTGAACACCAATATCTATGTATAAAGTTAGTTGCGTCCTGCCTTAAAAGGTTCAAACATCCTAAAGACTATAAAATGTCTTTTTGTCGGAATCATCGGTTGTAATCTGGTATGACTAATAACTTTTTTTGTAGAAGACCGACCCTTAAGTGTTTGTAGTATACATGTAAGTGCGATTCGGAACTTAATATACGTTTGTATGGTGAATGATAAAATAAATAAATGCGCATGATAAATAAGAGACATGATGTTTGTCAATAAAGAATCGATTTTCTTACTTTTCGGGA